CTATAAGTATGGCATGTTCCCTCTCAAATATGGAATCTTAAAAATTTTACTTTAATGTAGAATAGGGATTGTTAGGGCTTGGGAAGGTGTGAAGTGAAGGTGGAAGAAGAGTGGATGAATGTGACCAATACACTCCATATGTATATATGAAAAGATGACATGAATTCCTCCTTAATATGTACAGTTTAATATGTTCCAATAAATAAATCAATATTAAAAGCAATACATATGCAAAGATGAATAAAATTCATTTTTTTCTCTCTCTCTTTTACGAGGAGGCACAGAATTCTGCAACCCTAGAGCTCCACCTGGAAAGAGAACAGGGTTGGGGGGAAATTCTTCATCTTGGAAAGCCTTGAGGATACCAGAACCCAATCTAGTTTACTAGGGCTGCTGATCAGAATTCTTAAAGGCACAGAAATGACTTCCACATAGATAGATAGGATTGGAGACTTCTGTCTAAGCACCTATCTGGTCTTGGCAGCCCCACACTGCTGCAGATGAGGTCCTTGTCCCAGTAGATTAGTAAATGTAAAAGAATAGAAAGAAAGAAGAATGTGTTGGAGGCCATATGTGCCCCCGAGGGGCATTCTCACAGCCTGATCCTGCTTTTTTGGTCTCTGAAACCCATTTCTGTTTCTGATCCACTTTCCCATGCTGCCATCTCCACACAGGAGCCTGCAGATTCATACCTTCCTTGATTGGGTTGGAAAGGCACAGGGTGGAGTGGTCCCCAGATGTTGAGCCTGGAGTATGCCTTGGCACAGGAACACTTTCCTTTCTGTGCCTTTCTTTTTCTAGACATTTAAGAAGTTTTGTAAATTAAATCAACCTTATTTGGTCTATAATAACATAATAATATTTGTCTTAATTGGCTTTATCGATTGTGAGAAAATATTTCTTAATGACATTTTATCCTTGCTTCAAATAAAGAAAAAAATAGTTGTTTTATGAATTTATTCAGTTAGTTGTTAAGTAGGAGAGCAAAACACTCAGTGAATGAAAAAACATAAGACCTTTTTTTGTCCATTTCCCTTTAGGTTAAGCCTTGACTTTTGCCTTTCCACTCTCAACTTTCCTGTTACCAGCACTAGCTTCTGCCTTGGGCCCTGGCTTCAGTCCTATCTCAATCTTTCAGAATACCTTAAGTGAGTTCATGCCACACCTGTCATTGCAAGTACATAATTTGTTATGGAAAAATTGAGATTTTCCCATTTATCTTTTTTTATTTAGAGTGAGAAAACAAGAGGGCCATTATGAAAGTCAGAGGGTGGAATATGACAAAAGAGCCCCTCTCATGAATGAAGGAACTTTCTTCCATGCTGAGGATACAAGGTGGCTGCATCCCTGCTCTATATATGCCCTGTCCTGTCACCTGCCATTTGCCACAGTGGAGCTCTGGACTGTTCTGATGCTAAATGCTCTTAACTGTCCACAGCCCACCAAATAGAGACAAGGTTACTTCCCCATTTCAGCAGAAAGTAGCTTGGAGATGTCATTGCCCACTTTCCATAGAAATGGAGGCTAGAAATTGACAGTGGAGAAATGTAACAGGGGTTCATTTGATGCTTTGACTATATCCTTTGGGGCTTTGTAATTTACATGTTTTTTTTCCCCCAACCTTCTTCTCCCTAATCTTTTCCCTTACCTTCTTTTCCCTGTTCTTCTCCCTGATCTTCTCCTTGCTGATCTCTCCTCCCTAATCTCATTTTCTCTGAATCACCTCTATAAAAGCACCCTGTTACTGCTGATGGGCAGGATCATAGCCTTTGGGACAGGAGTCCCCTGTTTTTTTTCTTTGCTAGCAAAGCAATAAACCTTCTTTTCCTTTTTTCTCCAAAAAGGGGGGGGACAATTTTGATTCTCAATTGAATGCATTTGGATAAATGGACTCTACTCTTTTCCTCCCATTAGGCATGAAAAGACAAAAATTGTTTATCTCCCATTGCTAATTACTGTTCTAGACTTTTGGAAAGGTGTTTTAGAAAATAGAGAAAAATATCTAAAGCCATAGATAAAGTAAAAGATAGTGATAAATTATAAAGGGTGTCTTTAAATCACTAAAGGCCACTGAAATTAAAATGATGTTACTGAGAGGTATGTTTTCACTGCCTAAAATAAAACTTTATTTCCCAAGTATATCCAAACATTTGAAAGGGCAGATGTTGGA